GTCTGCCTCTCTCCCCCACGTGTTGTTGGGGTTAGAGTCTATCTTCAAAGTCAAAACTTTAGCCTTTACCCTCCAAGCTTACGGTGACCTCTTGAGAAGAGTTCTAACAGACCCCCCCCCCCCCAAAAAAAAAAAATCAAAAGATTGTCCCCCTCTCCTCTTACCATTTTTCTTCTAAAGTTGTTCTGTGATAATCATCTTTGATTCTCTTTCTGTCATAATGTTCTTGCATGAGTAGTCGGGTGAAAGTAATTATTGGTGTTTGAGTTGTCTCTCTGGCTCGTATTTGAGTTTCAAGATGAAAGTGAAAATTACAGTTGTCTTTATGAAGAAGATCATAATCATTTTTCCATATAATGAGATTCTCAATCATGATGCCACACTACTTTTCTTTTTTAAAAGATCCCAACAAGTACTTTCTCTTTTCTGTCTCCCGCAGATTGCCTTTCAAGTACTAGTGAAGGCGTTGATTAGCTTGGATCCAGGTGAAGACATGCAGCTTCTGATGAAACATTTTCAAGAATTCATCTCAGGCCTCATGTCTTTACCCATAAATCTCCCAGGGACAAAACTTCATCAATCTTTACAGGCAAGTGTAGATATTACAAGATTAATTAAAAAGATTACTTCCCTTCTACTGTTTCATGGTTGACTAAAAGGTTCTGGGTTTTTTTATTTTTTTGTTTTCCAGGCAAAGAAGAAAATGGTGAAACTTATCCAGAAGATTATCAGAGGAAAAAGGAAGAGTGGAATCTGTAAAGTTGCAAAAGATGTGGTGGATGTATTACTGAATGATGCAAGTGAGCAATTAACGGATGATTTAATAGCAGATAATATGATTGATATGATGATCCCAGGAGAGGACTCAGTGCCAGTTCTTATGACTCTAGCTGTCAAATATTTATCAGAATGCCCTCCTGCTTTGCAGCAATTAACGGTAAATCAGACCTTCATTTGCATAAACTCAAAATTTTAGGGATTTTATTGTAAAATTTTTAATATCAGAGAGCTTATCTGCATATAATAGGAAGCCAGGAGTTATATATAATTTAAATCTGTTTAATTAAAAAAATGAAAATTATATATTTTTTTTAAATAAGATGGATCCAGTACCCCCCGATATTTTTGAGGTACAACCAGCATCCTAAAGTATTTTGTGGTGCATCCATTGCCCTGAAGTATTTTTTAAATCTAGCACCCTGAAGTAATTTTTTTGCCTGGGTGCTATATGCACCAAAAAATATTTTTGGGTGCTGGATGCACACAAAAATTACTTTGAGATGCTAGATGTATCAAAAAAATACTTACGGTGCTAGATGCACATAAAAAAATATTTCAGGATACTGGATGCACCACAAATACTTTAGAGTGCTTGATGCACCTGAGAAAATACTTCGGGATGCTGGATGCACCTTAACCTTTTTTTAAATTATATCATAATAAATGTATCATTTAATTGATACATTCAACATTTGAACTCTTACAAAGCTTTTCAAATGAAATAATTCTAATTTTCTATGTTGATAAAAGATGCCACTTGCCATTATTAATAATAATTATATAAACTCCTTGTCAATTTTATTAATTGCATAGTATTCTCTTTTATTTTTAAGATATACACAAACTTTCTCTAACTAGAATGAAAGTATCCTATAAAACTGTTTTTCCTCTAGAGTATCTCTTGTTTAAATTTTTTAAATATTACTTCTCTGATTCTTAATTAAGACCTATTTAACTAATTTGATTATATTAAGAAAGTTAGGTAAGTTAGTTTATTTATAGGGTTAAGGTGCATCCGGTACCTCAAAGTATTTTCTCAGTGCAACCAGCATCCTAAAGTATTTTGTGATATATCCAGCACCCTGAAATATTTTTTAAGGCCACCTAGCACCTTGAAATATTTTTTTGCCTAAGTGCTGGATGCACCAAAAAATATTTTTGGATGCTGAACGCACCTAAAAAAAATACTTTGAGATGCTAGATGCACACAAAAAATATTTTACAGTGCTAGATGCGCATAAAAATTATTTTAGAGTATTGGATATATTACAAAATATTTTAGGGTGCTGGATGTACCTGAGAAAATACTTCAGGTGCTAGATGCACCTTAACTCTTAATTATATATAACATGTTTTTTCCTTAAATACCATAATTATCTTCTTAATATCCTATCTCCCTTTTCTACTTGATTATAGTTGAGGGAGTATCCATAAGGATAATTTAGAAAAAAATTGATAAATATGAGAAATATGTCTTATTTTAGAACCAAAATTAACCCAACAATTACGTCCTATATTATGGAGCGAAGGAGTAATAACTATATTTAGGCTAATCGAGAGTATTTTAATAAAATTAATATATAATTTAAAGTATATGATGACTTTCTAGAAGAAACTTTTATGTTTTAAAATGATTTCTAATCAACCTCACCACTGTTCATTTGGTTAGTGATTACGTTTGGACTTTGCATAAGTTTAAAAGTAGGATAAATTTCTTTGTTATTTACAAAGTAATATTATTTAACCTTAATTTTATTGAGTTATTTGTTTTTAATTCCTAATTTTGCTGTATGTTTTAATTCGTATAATAAAATCATCTGAGCCATAAAGCTTATCTCAAATTTTATGCAACACACTTAATTTGGCATAAATACCCCATAAGAGGCAATTAGAGCTTATCTTTATATGATAGGGCCAACATCACACTCATCCAAACTTGATGTAATCCACGTTATTGCAAAATCCATTCCATTATTTCCACATGATACATTGCTTTTGAATTGTCTTTGTCTAGGTATAAGGATAAGTCACTTGTCATTATCTTTTAATTCGTTTCATTTGTTTTACCCAATACACAACCTGGCTTCCCATGAGTCGTGCTCTTAGAAAAATATTCTCTTTTTATTGTGAGAAATCAAAGCTTTATAGTAACATTTTTACTTTATTCTTTTTTATTAATATCTCTTTAGAGACAGTTCACATGCAACCCATTTGTTGTTTTCTTTTTCTATTCTTCATTTCATACTATATCACATGAAAGATCTGTAACATCTTGATTAGACTTTTATATGATTTTCAATTTTAATTTGAATGTATCACAGGAAGAAAACATGAAACTTAAGAAGCTCAAAGATCAGCTTGGAGAACCCTTAGCTTGGAGCGAGTACTTATCATCATTACCATTTACCCAAACAGTAAGACATGTTTTTTTCTAATTTTATTTATAAGACATTTTTAATATGTTTTTATTGGAATCTAGAAAAATCTTAAATCTTATTAACTATATCTTTAAAATTTAATGACTCTTTAACTCTCTATCCTTATCTAATACTCCCTTAGATCCTAAATATAATGTCATTTTTGTAATGTAAATACACTACAAAAAGGATATTATATTTAGGACCTGAGGAGTATATACTCGTTGTCATGAATAATAATGAAGGGTACAACTATATATTGTAAAAAATTTGGTAGTGTGACTAAATGGGAAAAAACACGCACTCTCTTGACTTTGTAAATAGAACCAAACTCATCAAAAACTGTGTCTAAAAAAGAACATATTGTTCTCCAATCTGGCAATCTCCATGAATTTGCATAAATCTAAGATGAGACGCACTGTTCACAACTCTCTGTACTTTTACGCAGGTGATTACAGAAACTTTAAGGATAGGGAATATTATAATTGGGGTGATGAGAAAGGCTATGAAAGATGTTGAGATCAAAGGAAATTTGATACCAAAAGGGTGGTGTGCTTTTGCATATTTCAGATCTGTTCATTTAGATGACCAAAACTATGACTCTCCTTACCAATTCAATCCCTGGAGATGGCAAGTAAGCAACACACATTCTTCTTCTTTCTAAAGTTCTAAACCATATTGTTTTTAATACTGGTTTGATTAAACCAGTCTACCACCAACTTTTGAATTACGAGATCAAATCGAAATTTTAACTGATGAAATGGCTGTTTAATAACAGGACAAAGATATTAGCAGTTGCAATTTCACAGCTTTTGGAGGAGGACAAAGGCTATGCCCAGGTGTTGACTTGGCCAGGCTTGAAGCTTCCATCTTCCTCCACCAACTGGTTACTCAATTCAGGTGATAATTCTTCACTTTTTGGTCGGTGACTATGGTCACTCTTTATTACTCTCTCCTCATTCCAAACTGGGATTCTCTACCTTCATTAAAGATTGCTTGAATATAGAACATTTTGGTTTTATTTTGGAAACTACTAAAACTTTGGTTTCAGTGGTTTTCAATGTAAAATTAAACATGCTCGTAGTGTATTTGGACGGAAATACAGAAAGAAAGAAATAATTACATAAATACAAAGGATCTGATCTAGCTCCATAGCAGCAAAAGCAAAATCACAAGGCATAAAACTTTCTGATTGGGGGGGAGGGGGAAGAAAGTAAAAGTTAATGGGACCAGAGAAAGCTCTACACGTTCCATCAGATTAGAGAAAGGAAAAAACCCATCTGATTCTGATCTTTTCTGGTGAATTATTCGTATCAAAGTGACAGGTTATCTTAACTGTGATGAATCAAACTATGATGCTTTGTGAAACTGAAACTCACCGAGCTGTCAGTCCACGTGAATTCTGACTCACCAAGCTGTAGGATTTTGAACCATCTTGCCATTCACGAGAAATTTTTAAGGTGAAGTTAATAAAATACACTAAGTTAGTCATATAAAAATAGTCGAGCGCATTATATCTCCTTAAGAGAAGAGGGGAAAAAACAAAGCAGTACCTCTCATATTTACCAATATTTGTAAATTGAATATACCTAATAAGTTTTGTCACTGGTAACCACTCACTTATAGAAAGGTATATCAAAAGAACAAAAAGTTTGACCGGTCAAGTGTCCCAAATCTTAGTGTTTGTCTTCTTGCTCATGATGCAAGTGGCTGTTCACAATCTCCAAGCAGCCATTAACATTAAAAAAAGAAAAGTTGCTGACATATAAAACTGAAGCGACCTACGGTCCATTAGAGACAGCTGTTGAGAAGACACAGGATATTACTACTACTACTACTTTAGTTCCAGAAATTAAATCCATTCGACCTGCGTCTACTGTATAAAACTGTTCTTTCCTACCTTTTTCTCACCTAGAAGTCGGTTGTTTTCATATCTTATAGCACATTCTTCCATTAAGATCTGGCCTTACAAATGGAAAAAAAAAAAAAAGATACTCCGAGGTAGTGATCTTAGTCAAAATTGGGTTGATTAGGTCGACAAAAAGCACTTGGAAAATTAGTCAAACCGCCTAAAGCTAGGGATCTGTTAGGTCTACATATATATAATATACTATCTTATATAAATAGTGCTTAGTTTCTTCTTTCCGCTTTAAGCCTTTAACATATCTGATACATACAGTACCTTGCTTTGAATAGCTTGTTATAAACAAGGATATTTGGGTTGTTGGGATTAGTCTTTTTTGTATAGGGATTACAACAGAGAAGCTAAAACCATAGCCAAATGAGCTTTGAATTCCGGTTGTTTTTGTCACACCTATGATCAATCCCCACCTTTTATGAGAGAGGCGGGTAATGATGATAGGTATAGGATAATGGGTGGCTTTTTTCTTTTGGTATCTTTTTCTTGTTCTTTGTAATTACTACTGTTGCAGCTAGTAATCCTTCTGATATTGAGTAGTATGTAGTTCCTGTTTACATTCAGAAAAATAAAGATAAAATATTTGTGTATGAATAGTTTGAGTCTCTTAGATAGTCTCAAAAAGTTAAATGTTTCACATGCAGATGGTTTGCCGAAGAAGACGCAATTGTGAACTTCCCTACAGTGAGAATGAAGAGGAGAATGCCAATATGGGTTAAAAGAGTGGAATTTTGAGGTGCTTTTGGTCAAAAAAGATCATTATGAAGTAACTTATTCAAAACTGGCACAGTACAAGAAACAGTAATATGAAGAAGAAGGAGGAGGAGAAGAAGAAAAGGACAACTGCAGAGAGAGAAGTGGACAAAGAAGGAAGGGTGGGCTTATGTGAATGAACACACGTGTGGGAAGATTCATTAAGCCCAATGAATTTGTCCCCTGGCATAGTTCTCCTACTTAAAGACAATTTAAACAATAATTAATTAAAAATAAAGGGCAAAATTTTCATCTTTTGTTGGGCCCACCAATTTTAGGATTTTACTTTTAAGTTTTAACCCAGTCTTCTTTTCAATTTTACCTTACAAGTATATGCATAGAGGCAATGAAAAAGGCTGATTGCAAGGGGAATCACCCTCATCTTGTTTCTAATCAAAGCTTCTCTCTTCCTCATTTCTCTTCACACTTTTTTGTACTTTTATTCTCTCTTGTTTTTTTTTTAATCTTTTGGGTGAGGATAGAGGGTATGGACAATCATAGTTGATGGGTCCCATAATATAATGACAATCATAAGGCCACTTGGGAGAAGTTCATATTAAATTAAACTCTGCATTATTTGCACTTTATAGTTCAGGATTATTGAATTAGCGAGTTAGCTAGGAAATAGACCCACCCATCGGTTTGGTCCATTAAGCAGTGCCATCATATGCATGTGAGACTCTGGGTCCTTCATTCTTTAACTAAATATGAAATTCACAAATTTAAAATTGATAAACAATTCAGTTTATAATATATATATATATATATATATATATATGGGTCTGTATATAAACTAGCGTTTATATTAAGAAGTCGAGATTCTAAGTCCTTCAAATGTAGCTTATATTTGAGATTTTAGGTCCTTCATTCTTTAACTAAATATGAAATTCATAAATTTAAAATTGATAGAAAAATTAGTTTATGATACATATATGTAGGTATGTATATAAACTGGCACTTACATTAAGGACTCGAGATAACATTGATCATATATTTTATTTCCCCATATATATATATATATATATATATATGCGTATACTAAATCAGGGTGGAAAAGTGGCGGGGTCATTGTATATTAGTACTACTATATAGTTCAAGCTAAGGCGCTGCCTTCACTTGGTCAAAGGACAGACACATTTTGACATGATTTTTATTCGGTTTTTGTTGATCTAACTTTCACTTTAACCTATTTTTTAGGCTTTTGTTGGCCCCATAATTCATGGATAATAACAAAAGTTCATTTTGTAATAAAATGATATCTCTCTATTATGATTCCTGGAAGAAATGAGATCCTCCACAAGGAGTTTGAAGTCATTTTGAAGAATAATTTTTCCAAGTTTTAGATTTGGGCCTTTTTAGAATGACTAGCTTCTCATTAAATAAAAGATTAAGATGCATCTAACATTCTGAAATATTTTTTCAGTGTATCCAGTACTCCGAAGTATTTTGTGGTATATTCGGTATCCTGAAGTATTTTTCAGATACATTCAGTACGTTGAAGTTTTTTTTTTTTAACCTTGATGCTAGATGCACCAAAAAATATTTTGGTTGTTGGACGCATCTTAGAAAAATACTTAGGGTGTTGGATGCATTAAAAAATGCTTCAAAGTACTGGACGTATTTAAAAAATATTTCAGGATATTAGATGCACTACAAAATACTATAGAATGTTGAGTGTACCTTAATCCTAAAATAAATAATCAATAAATAAAAAGGCCATGAATCCAGCTCACGTTTGCATTTCTACTCAATGCATATATTAGCTTTTCAAATTCTGTCCCAAAGGAAATGCTTTTAGTTATGGGCCAAATTTTCAATACAGATTATATTAATATAACATTTTACAATTCAATTTCTTTTGGGCATAAGAAGCATCCGTTTGATTTATTTATTTTTTAATTTGATGTAAGAAGCAACGTTCTCTTCAATAAAAATAAATAAATATGGCATAGGATTGTATATGATTTAAAAGTCAAATAGAAACATCTTTTTATAGGTAGAAACAGATACACTAAGGCATTAGGTAAAAAATTTAACATCTTTTAGTATGATTAAGTATGTTTCTGTCTACAAACCTTGACTTCCATGTGATTTTTTTATGTATCTTTTGTATAGGAAGTTTTTTTTTTGTTTCTATATAGTTTTTTAGCTACTATTTTTACATTCCTTCAAGAAATAACAAATAAAAAAAATGACATATGAACAGCATGTGAATAACTAGAATGGCTTAATTTATTAACTATATTGTCTATAATTGGATTTTTGTAGCTCAATTAACACCAAACACTTTTCTTAAACTTTTTACAAGTATAAGATTGTGATTTCAAGCTCGTAGGAAAGGATATAATAAATATGTAAGTTATGGAAAAAAAATATAAAATCCACATTTATTTTTTTGTTAATAAAAAATCCACATTTATGATGTATTGCGTTACACCTATTTGAGAAATCAAAGGCAAAATATTGTTGGGCCTATGAAGATGAAGAATAGGCAAGTTCTATGGACTATAGAGTTTGAAATGGGCTAAAATCTTTTGACTTTCTCTCGTCTTCCTATTTCACTCACCGGTTATTTACTCCTCTAATTTTAAATATAAAACACATTTTATAATGTAATTTATATTATATTTAACCAATACACGTTGACACAAATGGATGAGAGTCTGTGTCCCTTAATCATCTCTCCCAGGTTGTATTCCGCTAGGGGATGGGAATGGAATTGGGGTACTTGGGACTTGGGAGGGTAGCCCCCATAATTGGGCCTCTACAAGTCTCAAGAGATTAGTCTTCTAATGTTTCAGTGGAAGGATACTCTGATGTTTCACAAAAAAAAAAAAAAAAAATAAAACCAGAAGAGCACTTTGGTTTGTCAAGGCAAATAGGCACCTCAAAAGGTGGGATAGGTGGTTAGGAGATTTAACACTTTCCATACTCAAATGGAGATCCAACCCCAGCCTTGGTTAAAGAAGAATGAGCCCCTATTGCTCAATCACACGTCCCTGGTTACCCTTTAATTCTTTTATATAACATAACTGTATTGTTATTAATTTATTTATATGCAAAAATGTTCCCATTGAATCGGTTCATGTCACCGATTTAACAATTACATAAATGAACAAACTAATTATAAAACCGGGGCCAAATTGCGGACCGAAACATTGATTCCCTTAAATAGGGTTTTTAACTTTTTATTTTCAAACCAAAATTCGCTTCAACTTTCACTCAATTTCAATTGCAATTTGCAAATGATGTCACATAACCAATTGGAGTATTGCGGTAGTGGAAACTTAAGAATGCGGAAAGTATAATAAAACAACAGAAAATTGTGTGGCAAAATGAAGAAAAAAAAAACAGAAAATTGTACTAAGGTGCCACTCAAAAAAATTAAATGTTAAAAGGTTCTTTAAAATTATTAAATTAATTTGAAGTGTCAAGAAATTTTATTGCAAGAAATTTTACTTGTCTAATTACTTAAATGCTCTCATCTTTTTTCTTAAATATGCATTGATAATTAACAACTATCGCGTTAGGATTATTAATTAAGTGGTTAATGAGTGTTTTTTTTAGTTGTTAATATATATTTTAAAAAAAAAGATGAGAGTAATTTAGTAATTGAATGAGTAGAACTTCTCGTGATGATATTTATTAGGATTTCAAATTAATTTGATAATTTTAAAAAATTCTTTTGCATTTAATTTTCACGAATGAGATTTTACATTTTAGTGTAATTTTTTCCTAAAACAATCGTAAATTTTAAGCCCTAACCCCAAGTCGGGAGCCGCTGCAGGAGTCAGAGCAGCATCAAATTATCAATTGACTTGGCTCTGATCTCTGAAACGAGCCGTATAGGCAATCCGCTGCACAAACCCAAGTTCCGAAGGTGCGACTCTGTGAGGGGACCTCACAACTTGCCAGCCCTTGCACAAAGTTGTTGATTCTTCCTCCCATCTTCGCCTGCGATTACGTTTATCTGTTCGTCTTCCTCTTCTTCGCTGTGCAATCGGAGAAACTCTTTTCTGACGCTAAACCTAACCTTCAAGGTTTAGAACTCTCCTTCACTTGCTCACTTTAGATTTCAATAAAAACGCGCGGACTTGGGTTCTGTGTAATATTATTCATTGATTGCGTTAGTTTCGCTTTGCATATACAATTTGGATTTTTGCTTTGATTCGTATGTCCTCTTGTGAGTTGTTGTGCCTCTTTTTTCCTTTCCAAAAAAAAAAAAATATTAGAATTCATATGTCCTCCGGTCAGTGAAGCCTAATGTTTTAATTCAAGAGCGTGTGGTTACATAACCTTCATGTTCAACGGTCGTTCTCTGATAGACTCTAATGTTTCTGTGAATTTCATTCCTTAGTTATTACAAGTTAATGTTCATGTTATTATATGTTTCTGTCATTTCAGGTAACCTCAAATGTCTGGAAGGAACCGTGGTCCCCGAGAACCAATCAATGATCGGCGGGGCTACCCACCTGAACGGCTCTTCATTCCAGGGCCTCCGTTGCCTCGCCCTCCTATGCCGCCTCATCCAGCTCTATTGGAAGAGGAACTTGAAATGCAGCACACAGAAATCCGGAGGTTAGTGTTAGAGAACCGAAGGCTGATTGAGGACCGAATGGTATTTCAGCGGGACCTTGCAGCTACAAAAGAGGAACTTCATAGGATGAACCTTGCCATTGCCGAAATTCATGCAGAACGAGATCTGCATGCAAGGGAATTTAATGAGAAAAGACAGAAGTTGGAATCTGATATTCGGGCAACCAAGCCCTTGAAGAATGAGGCTGTACAATTGCGAGCTGAAGTGCAGCAACTTAAGAATGTTAACAAGGATCTTGAAGCGAAGGTTCAGACACTTACCCAAGATCTTCTGAGGTTACAAGCTGATAATCAACAAATTCCTATGTTGAAGGCTGACATCGATGGAATACATCAAGAGCTTATGCGTGCTAGGTGTGTGGTTTAATTGCTGATGGGATTTTATTTTCTGTCCATGTGTCCTTTTGTGGTATATTTTACTGCAAGTCTAATTAAGTTATAACAAGGAAATTTTTGTTTTCTAGATCCATGGTTGATTATGAAAAGAAAGGAAACATAGAGATGATGGAACAAAGACAGGCAATGGAGAAAAATTTGGTCTCCATGGCTCGGGAAGTTGAGAAATTACGTGCTGAGTTAGCTAGTTCCAATGGCAGACATTGGGGTGCTGGTGAGATTTGCTTCTACTCTATCATTCCGTAACTTCTTTCTTTTGCTGCACTTTGATGATCCTCTGCTAGATACATGCTTGCTGTGTATTACTTGGTAAAATTGGTTGTAGGAAGAATTATCTTTTGTTCCTTTGCTCTTGCAGTGAAAAGATATTCTATTATCCCAAGTTGTAAATTGTTAAGGGAAACTAGAAGGAGCTAGGACAACATGTAGTATAAAAGTTGTATGCAGTAAGAGAATAAGTAGAGAGGGGTGGGGGGAGAGCACTGCGTAATGTCTGGGATGATTGGATACTCATCTACTGTGAACTATGAAGACCCAAAAAGATGCACATCACTAGTACTGCTGAAGCGTTAAATTATAACCCTGGAAACTAAAACCATTGATCATAAATAAATAAACACCCCTAACCTATGATCATACGTAGTGTAGAGAAATTATTTTTTATTTTATTGTCCATTATGTTTTTAATTAAAAATTATGCTTCATCATGTGTCAAGGTGGGACCTACGGGACTAAGTTTGGCAGCCCTGAGGGAAGTTTTCCAGCTCCATATCCCGATGGATATGGTGTTCATATGGTATGTTCTGTTCTAAATTATGATTTAGATTCCCCCCTTTATAAGTTTGCGGATTTCATGATATGTATGTGCTGCTTTATAGGGAGGTGCTTCATGGGGACATCATGAGAAGGCTCGCATGAATCGTCGTTGAGATTGTAGGATCGCTGTTGGAGATGAAGAACAGCTTCCTCCATTACTCTGCTTTGTGTTGGGGGAATGGCTGAAACAACTTAGCAAGTCCTTCTATGTTCACATCACTGGTCATTTATCTGGATATATTGTTAGTTCTAAACTGAATACATAGGTTTTAGCGTTCCTTTGCTTTTACCATAATGTTTATCTTGCTGCAATATATCTGAAATGATACTGTATTATGATGGATTTCTTTAATCTTATCTGTCTTTTTATTGGGTTTGTATTTTATTATTTGCATCATTATCTCTCTCTCTCTCTCTCTCAACACTTTCCCTCAATATATTCAGTTATAATTCTTTCATTTGGGTTTAAGTCTTCACATCCTGATGGGCCCCTGGAACAGGAAAGTAACATAAGTGTAAGGAGGTGCCATTAATCCTGTGGGCTGAATCATGTGGCCGAAGTTCAATGTTTGACAAGTTTGTCATGCTTGCTGAGCGGTATTAGAAGACTCTATATAGATATTTTTGTTTGTACTCTTGTTGTCAATACTTTCTGTTGAAGTCCTGCCATTGCAGTTTATCTTCTTGTCAATACTTTCTGTTGAAGTCCTGCCATTGCAGTTTAATGAGCAGTTATGGTCATGAAAAGATTATGAAAAGGGTCATTTTGGTGCTAGTACTTTCATATGGAGTGTTTGATAGTTGGAAGAACATCTCTTAGTGATGCAATTACTATCTGTAGAGTATTGGTGGAAAAATCATTTTAGGCCATGCTTTCTGGTTAGCTAAACTAAATTAAGCAAGTTGTTAGATTTTTGACACAGATTGTGGAGCATGTTGTAAGATAGGTTAGGATGATAGATTAACATGCATATCCAACTATTTTGGAATCAGATGGATTTATGATCACCTAACCCCCAGTGCTGAGTTTTTTGTGACTGGTGGGTATCATTTGACAATTACATTCATGCTCCTACAACTGGCAAGGGAGGCGTTAAACATGCAAGTTATATGGAGAGATCAGGTGTTTCAATGACTTTATGATGCGTATATCTTTTGGTCTCTATATGTAAGGTGTAAATTTCTTGGAGAAAAAGTTGTGGGCTTTTCAATGCAGATTTATGTTTTAGGGTACATCGATTGGTTTTGGGAGAGATATTTGTATTTGCGGTGGTCACAGTCATTTTTAGAGTTAATTTGAACATAAAATATGTTTAGGTTCCAAAATATATAATTGCTCTTTGTTCCTTATTCTCCCTGCTATGCTGCCAATGGTAACTAAAGCTTTTTGCTGGCGTGGGCCGTGGGGCATGTATGTTGCTTTGGGATCGAAGTGTTAAGTGGTGTTATTGGTGGCTTTCAGTTGAAGTGCTGTTTTTCTGTAGTTATTGAGCAATGCGGTATTCTGTAATGTTGCTCCATCAATTGAGGGTAACCAGAATTTTGATGGAGAAGCTACAGGTTCACGGTATTTTGAGCTTCTGTTTGGTCTTTCCATCAGACACAATGTTGAATTTGATCTTGGAGGCTGTACATTGGTAAACAGTGGATTGAGATTGCTATAAGTGATGAACTATAGTTTTGGTTGGGAAGCTGGTTTCTTGAAAATGTCATGTTTTACCAATCACAATGGTATTCTTATGAACAATTCACTTGAAGTTGATCACTAATTGGTTGATTTGAGAGTGATTGTAAGCTGGGATGCCTGATGTGACAGATTAAGTGGGATGTTATTAGTTTTATCACCTAATCAGTTTTGAAGGAGAAAAACAACCCTTGTATAGTTTTTATCTCTCATACTGTTACAAAGCATCTCATACTTCATATTGTATGAGCTGCTGATGTTTCATCAGTGAAGACTCTCCTTGACTCGCAAGTTCCCCACATGTTGCTAGTAACACTGGAATATCAAAGAAAGGATTGTGGACCAGCTGTATGTCAAGGCCAGCAGCTCATTTGAAGCTCATAGGCAAGTATTCTGCTCCTCTTTAGTGGCCTGAATGATGTAACAAATAGACTTTACTGTGTTACCCTGTTGATTGCCTTCATGTAAGGTTTAGCAACTAGCATGTTGCTTAGTCTTAACCTGAATTGGGTTTATGGGATTGATCATCTTCGCATTTTGCTTCTAGTGCTTTCCTATAACCTTGAACTTGCTTTAGTCGTAAGGAATCTGTAATTGTAATTTTACAAGAACAAGTTGTCTAAAGTTAATTGAGACCTTTGATTTGATGATCTATTAGAATCTGAAACTTTCCGTTGCTGGCTATGAGATGGCCAATCTTTATTGCTGTGCAGTAAAGCCGGCTTTAGGAATAGCAGTTTATCCTTTGCTTGTTAGGATAACATGAGATCTTGTTGGATTTTTAACACGTGCATTTAGAACCCTGTAAGTATCTGAAGTTCTTTCTTATTGTGCAAGAAAGCCGACTGTAGGACTAGCAACCCATCATTTGCTTGTTAGGATGACATGAGATCTTGTTGGATTCTTAAGTAACACATCATGCATTGAGACCCCTATAAGTATATGAAGTTTTTCCATTGCTGGCTATGAGATTGCCATTATTTGTTATTGTACAGGAGAGCCAAGGAATAGCAGCCTATTTCTTGTTTGTGAGGATAAATGTGAGATCCTGTTGGATTCTTAGTACATTATACCCTTAGATCCCTATCCAAGTTTTCTGGACTCTTGATGGTTTTCCTAGCACCATAATAAAGGATTTATCTTTTATCATTTAGAGTATGTTCAAACTTTGAATTATCTGGTACTGATGGAAAATTCTGATATTAGCGTAATGGGCCACTTGTTTGCACTACGTGGTTCTGTTTCTTGTTTCAATGCCACTGTCCTATTTCTGTTGAGAATTAAGTGAAGTATTTTGGAAATAACTGCAAAGGCTGTGTAGCAGCTGCTAGACTTTGTTGCTGTTTAGTTGGAGCATTCTGGATAATTGTAGGACGACCAAACTTCACATACAATTTTGGTCCCATTGTTTGTCTTGTTGATATGGCAAGAGGAGGTCAACAATTGATTTGTGTATACCTGACAATCTATGTTCTCCAGTGAGATGTTAAAATGCTTGCTTGCTTATGGATCTTGTGACCACCTGGTCAGCTTTGATGCATTAGAAGCTTGGATTGAATTTGTTTCCAGTGATGGGTTACTGCACTAGTTGGTTTTTCCCCCCCTCTTTGGTGAATTATATGTGGCCAAATTTGGAGACTAACCTGATGAAAAGAATTAAGCCAGGACGCCAGAGGGTAAAGGAGCGATGGAGTATTTCTGGGGCTTGCTCATGTAGTTTTAGGTTTTAAAGCTGTCTCTTCTGCGCTTCTAGCTATCTCAAACTTGAATTCTATGACTCCAAATATCAGATTTCTCAGATGTTAATCTGACTGTCAGTCAATGCCACCTAAATTAGAAAATACCAGGTGCCTACTTAGGCAATTGATTACATATGAATCTTTTGAAGAGTTAATAAATAAGAGTGATGGATGCCTTAGGGCTGGGGAGCAGAAGTTAAATAAGTTTGTTGGAATACTAGTTCTCGTGAATGTGTAGAAGTTTGCTTCACTTGTTATAGAAATGATCGCTGTATGTTTTTTCTTTCTTTATGGTGCTATTTTCTATTGAATATATTCATGGCATTGTAACTCATCTTTCCACTCTTTTTTTTTTTTTTAATACTAATCTGTCCACTCTTTCAGGTTTGGTTCTTCATGGAATTTTTCCATAGAACTATCTGTACCATAACATATTCAATTGCCTGCCTTGTATGTTTATCTAATATTTGTTTAACATGGTTGCAGATTGGACGCTTGGAATCTTGTCAATGCTGGTGATCTAGAAGAGGAAAAAGAAATGCCTGTCTTTGACGCTAATGTGGGAGATAGATCTCTGGGAAGACCAAAAGGCTTTTGATTTCTTTTTTTGCCGGGTTAGCAAAATCTGAAGATGCTTATTCTGGGATGAAGATTTGTCAACCACCCTTAGAAGGGTTTGGTTGCTTTGCCTGGTGGTGAGGGAGTTGTGTAGACAAAATAACATGGGAAGATCACATGGGAATTTATTGTTTCAAGGAGCGTATTCCGACCATGTTTGTTTGGGGATGAAGATTCTTCGGCCATATAATTCAAAGCATATTTTGCCTGAGTGGGGAATGGTGAGGAATCCTTGGTAAAGAGTAAATTGAGGAAAAACGTAAAGTTCACTGTTTGCACGGGGAAAAAATCCAATGGTTACTTGTTGGGGGATGAAGATTGGTCCGTCATTTGGCGTTGGTTTTCATATCCTGTTTAATAGTGCTATGCGATTATCAGAAGTGAAACACTACAAAGGAGTGTGCTCCTATTGTGAAACAGACAAATTATACTTTTTTTTCCATCACATGTTCATTTCCACCTTAAAGGGAGACACTACGAAAGGGTATGCTCGTATTCTGACTGTTGCAGGAGGATACATCTCGAGGGAAGTTCCAGCAAAATTGAGTTTCGTATCTTCTAGCCTTTTTTAAGGGCAGCATTCGTATTTTATTTATTATAAGACTGGAGTCCTTTTGTTTGCCCAACTACTCGTTTTGTTCATTTAGATTACGACACTGAGGATGTTTGCATCCTAGGCATCGAATTGAACTGCATCCGGTTCCAGGATCATGAGCTGAATCCCTTAATCTTTGGCAGAGGAGAACGCAGTAATATGTAATTTGACCAAGTCTTTGAGTTCAGACCCTTAAATTTATATTTGTTTCTGATTTATTAATAAAATTAATTTCTAAATCAAATGGGTTTATTTTGGCCTGATTTTAAATAAAATGGTTAAATACAATTTCAATTTACATGAGAACTAACAATGTATCCGAAAGAAGAAAAAAGGTAGAAGTGAAAAACGCCAACCATGAAATCATGGCAGCATGGTCACAGCTTGAGAATTTGAACGTTGGCTAAAAATACCATACACCCAGAAATACTAAATATTATACAGTTGTGTAAAAATACAATGAACAAGAAGAATACAGGGCCATGCATGCCAATATAACGCTCGGCCGCTGAAATCATCATATGCTTAAGAACATTTTGGCATAGTCAGTGAGCTTATCGCATCAGGCAATGCGGGGAAAAATAACATCAAAATAGCTTTGAGTTGCCCTGGCCATTTGCCGCCAGAGGTTCAGCGGAGATAACTTCTGAGAAGGTCATTTGATCCGTTTCATATTCCCTTTAACTTTCACAAGTTGCCACTGACATTGGGGTTCTAAAATCATACGAATATACCTTGTAACAAAATCGACAATCCCAGCGTAACAGAAGCAACTTCTTCTCATAGTTTGTTGTTGCCTGGAATTTGCCAGAGTATATCTTCAACTTCGGTGTTGAAAATGAAGCTAGTAAACACAGTAGTGATCTCGCTGGCCAAGCATCAATACAAAAAGGAAGAGATTGAGTTACAGTTCTTGACTATGCAAACCGTTATAAAATATAAGCTAAATTACTTTCTTCTACCTAATAAATACCAAAAATACATTATTCCTCCCTCTCTTAAGAAACAGGTCCTTCTAAATATTCCTCACTGACTCTAAACACTGTTATTTACTAAAACTGTGAGAGAAGTAACAAACAGAAAGAGCAAGACATAAATCATATGCCGTGAGTTTAGAGTACAGCTATCCAAGTCAGTTTGTTGACAAGCAGCTAACATTTTCTCTTCTCCCCTTAATTTATGGTATTGTATAGGTATCTTTCAAAATACAACAATGACCAACAACTAAACTGATGATTTAAGTTAAGTGGAAGGATTTTCTTTTTCATTTTTTCTTCATTTTGGTTTTTTGCCGTGTCCTCAGCTCATTCATCATGTAAACTGCGGCCATTTTTTTGGGCCAAATGTATACTACTGCCTTGATTACTGATCAGGAAGCACAAACCATTGAATTATAGAATGAAGCAATTCTCCAGAATGTTCATCTATTTCCCAACAAATTATTTTTTTTAATCAATAAACATTGATGACAAAATGAAAAATCAATTATGACAATTGTGATGGTAAGTGAACTTAATGTAGGAGAGACAAGGGATGAAAGTAAATTACTTAAGCCCAGGAAGAGTCATGTAATTCAGTAGTGTTGGGTGCCGAACAACATATTCCTTCCATTCTTCTTTATTAATCTTACCATCCTTGTCAGCATCAGCATCTTGAAAAGTCTGATAAAGAACAACAATGTAAGAATCAAAACTCCAATCAAAGTTTTTTTTGGGGGGGGGGGGGGGGGACAAAGGGGGAAAAAAATTGCCTTATCAAGAATAGCTTCCAGAAAGTTGTCTTCTAGTTGCGTCCCGCATTCTGACATTATGGCCATCATCATTTGCCTAACCTGGAAAAAGTTTCAGGGGAGCAAAACAGTTTAAACACTAGCACCTTTATCCACCAAGTATGTCTAGCCAAACTGATGCTGTGCAAAGAGATTTGCTATAACCAATAGCACCCGTTCGATTATACATTATTAACCCATAATAACGGTACAAACTGAATAACATCTGCCAAACCTGGAAATGTCAAGATACTTACTTCTTCCCGCTCAATATATCCTGTCTGCCTCAAGTCATACAATTTAAAGGCAACTGCAAGCAAGCCAGAAGAGACAATAGATATTTATTAATATAAAGTATTAATTGGCTCAGATGAAGGAAGCAACTGCTATTAAATTATTTAAGTCTTACAATCAATTTTCTTTTCCAGAGGAGCAGCAGGATGAAAGACACTAAGAGCATGGATAAACTCGTCAAATTCTATAACACCATTTCTTTTCTCATCAAAGAGATCAAATACCTGAAAACGAGTTATCAACAAGAAATGTACTCACCATTTAACTTGAACTTCAAATCAAGTATGTAGGATGCATTAAGGATAAAAGAAATAGGATAAAATTGTCAGAATGAACATACCCTATCAAGGAACAGGTTCTCGCCACATGACGTTCTCAACAGCGCCAATCTAAGCTCTTCCTTCATATGGAAAACAAAGACGAGTTAAAGAAGGCATTCTGACAAATAATATCAACTCCAGTGTTGATAAACTAAGCAGCCAACATAATCAAATATAACAATGCACAATCTTAGCACTAAAAGCACTTCCTATCTAAAAAGTCACTGTCACATCTTTGCTTAGAAGTCCACACTCATGTTCAGTGGCAAGGATCTCATTTTAGAATTTTTCAGTGAGCACTACTCCCTCATCGTCATAATGTTTAAATCACTTGTTTCTTTGAACAGGGCAAATCCCAGCAACATGCTGCCATACGGTTCAGTGTTGTCATACATCCAAACAAACAAAATTTTAAAGGCAAACTCCGTTAAAACTAAGCAGATGGAAAAAGTCGATAAAGTCCTGACAATTTCAGTTACCTTGTGTATGAGGCCATCGTCAATGATTGAACTACTCAATTTCTTGTATAATTCACGCAAAGCCTCAATTTCATTAACAGTAACTGCACGAACACCGGAACAAAATTGTAAGAAGCAGAATTTCTATACGCAATCAGTGAGATCACAGAAAGCAACGAACATGGAGAACTCCTAGCAAGAAGGACTAAATCGTCGAATGTGGAATAGATCTTTTTCTTGGGAGGTTGAATATTGAAGCATCCGGACAAGCTATAAGCCAAAGCCTCAAATAATCCTATGAACGGTATGAACACGAAACAAAGCTTCTCCCCGATTGTCAAGCTCGACCTCGGATCCTTTCCCCAGTCAACACAGAGAAAAAGAAAAACAAAAAAGAAAGAGAGAGAAGCATTCAGTAAGAAGAATTTCCCTCAAAAACCGGACTAAAATTATTTGAATAATTTACAACAACATGCGTGGATCAATGATGTTAAACAAAAAGAAGAAGTACCCTTTAAGCAAACATAAAATCCTGATACGAAAAAGAAAGACGGAGAAGAAAAAGCAGAATCAAACGAGAGACATTACCAAAGAGCTCGTACTAAAATCCATATCAGCGAAACATCGGAGATTTTCCCACGAGAGACGCATCCAGAGGTAGATCACGGCAAAATTTTGGAATCTGTTATGCTGTTTCAATAGAGAAATAATAATGACTGAAGGTTGAAGATAATCAATGGCCGCCACATGGGGCTGCGAATGATTGGTATTATTGGAAAAAACTGTCGTTGTGGGCGCTGGGGCCACCGACCTTAGGGGCTAATCAATTAATTAATTAAATAGTAGTAATAACAAAATCACATGAGCGTGTTATTACGGTAGGTTGATTGGTTAATCAGGGACTTGGTAATTAATAAATAATAAATAGGAGGACGAGAAAGCAAAGATGAAATCTGATGTGGAAGGGGATTTGGGCCAACTAAGACTTGATTTTGTCAAGTGGGAAAGTAGTGGATGGAATCCAATTTCGCCATGTGATTCATGTCGACGTGGCCACAATTTCGTGTGGTTCTCTTCTTTGGGGCTAAATCAAATCTATTAAGCAACTTCAGGTGAAGTCAGCAAAAAATGAAATTTATGTTGTTATAAAACTTTAGGGAATAAAAAATTAGTATGCCTAAGAACGAGAAGAGAACAAGCTTCATTTTTTTTTTGGTCTTCATTTTATGATTTTAAATTGTCTTCTCATTTTTACTTTTGATAATTACAGTAATTTAGAAACTTTGGGGATAAACGTAAAAATATACTCCTTCCCATCCTTAACATCAAACCTATTTAACTAATTTAATGAGATTAAGAAAATTAGATAAATTTGTTAATATCCGATATAAAGTAGATCTTTTTTAATATCATCATTTCCTCTCCTACTTAATTATGGTTAATAGAGTATTCATAGGAGTAATTTAAAAAAATTTAATAAACATGAGAAGTAGATCTTATATTTAAAACTAAAATTAACTCAATAATTAATTATTATATTGAGTACTTTTAATCCTCCAACCATGTGTAAGGTTTCATATTAGTTCATTGATTTTATTAAGTGTTTTTTATTTACTCTTTAATAAATTAATCTAATGGGAAAAAAATTGATACTGTAGTTTAAAATGCTGAGAAAGCATTGCTATATTTTTTTTTTTTTAAAAAAAAGGCGTGTTTGTTTATTTTCTTCCCCTCCTCATTGTCTTTCGGGTGGGAGGGGTTAGTGATGTGTTTATTCTATTTATTGTTTGCTTTTGATCTGCTCCTTATTTCTCCTGCAGTTCTCTTCTTAACTCTTATATTAACAATTAAATTGACCAACTTTAAATTTTGGTATGGGAGAAACAAGATGGAAATTGG